CGATGGCGATTGTTCGTCTCTAGGGCACGATAAGATGATTTCGCTAATCTTCTGCGATCCTACAACGAGTGGAAATATGTTTTTGCTACTCCTGGCGAGTGAAAAAAAACCATTACCATGATTTCAGTTGAATTAGACTTGTCCTCTGAGGATCTTATCAGCATTTGAACGAGGTAATCAAGGCGACAATTTCGCGTTTCTGTGCAATATATCATCTTTGGCAGTTTTATGCCACCGTTCGCTTAGCATGGTTGTGTCCATAACCGCTCCTTTATTAGCAAACGAGGCCCATGTGGGTGTTTTCCCTCAAAATTTTTTGTGGTTGATGAAAATGCAAGTGTATTCGAAGAAATTTCTTCGAGCAAACCTAAGTAATTCTTGGTCAAATAATCCGCCATGCCCGGTTGTTCGTTGTGTGACAAGAAAAATAGCACTTCAGCGAATCTTTTTTGAAAAACTTCCAGTTGGCTTTCCCTGAGTAGCTCTTGCAGCGCTTTATCGACCGTGTCCCGTAGAGGAGCCTAAATATCTTAGGATGCTCATTTACTCGTAACTGCTTCGGCTAAAGTCACATACGTCCACTAATTCTTTGATTTTCCTCTTCCACGTCTGTGCGATATGTGTTCGACAGTAGTGCAGTCGTGTACGTGCTTTCGGAAAACTAATCGGAATCCATTCCAAAAACAGGGAGCTTCATCCGTAACTATAGTCTCGGGCTCAAAATCAGGAATGAGCTGTTTGATAACATCGAAGAACTTGGCGACGTCCACCGCAGTCATTGTACCGCTTATCAAGAATCCTAAAAGAATTCCATTTTGGATTCCAACATTCCAACATCGGGAACCTTATCCATGTTCGATTAGATACCCAACCTGCGGGTAAGCCTCTGTCTTTTTCATCTGGGACAACAAGTGTTGCCAACTTTATGTGGTACCGGGTGGTATGGATGAGTGTCGTCGAGACTAACACCCCTTTTTCGAGAACTTTCGCAGCCAATCGAGTTGAAGAGGAGTCACGATCACTGGAATACTTTGTGAGTGAAAAAATACAATCAAATTTGCTTCGTTGCGGATACCTACCCATTAGAAGACCTCTGCCGCTGGGGTCGTCGGGTGGAACATATAGCCTTATACCATCGAGAGGGTTGCCCTCCTGCACGCGTAATGACACTGAAGTCAAGTCATTGTGATGCCGTCGCCCGGGTCTGAGGTTGTATTTTTCCACTAAATTCTTCAAGTCGTCCTTGGTAACGAAAAAAAGTCTCGGATTCCTGTGACGGTACTCATTACGCAGTCGTTCAAGAATATAACCAATGGTGTGTTCTGTAAGAGAAGATTTCAGACTGTGATTGATGAGAGACAGTTACGCAGCAGCTCATAACCTTCTAGCAACTGCTTCAAGAACTCTCGATGCTCCACCGATAAACGTAATAGTGCAGGTTCCAGACTATGTCCTGCATGACCGAAGCACCCTTTGGTAACCACACTGCCATCATTTCGCAGCTGCACATTCAAGAAGCACGGGCAGTAGGCAGTGTCCTTTCGGGTGACCTTCATCCTCTTTGTTGCCGTTGCAGTTCCTCTTCCAGCGCGGTTACACCTTAATTTCGAGCGCTTAGGTCATGAGGATGCACAAACAAGAAACAACTCAAGCTGGGAATTACCTCAAACTTATATTTTTACCCCATTTCATACGATTCTCTGTTTCTATTGACAAAGACGTGCAGCGTTTTTCGCATTGTTCTGCCAGCCACTGCTTAATGGTACACGTAATGTTTTCTTTATCAAAAGGGGAAGGAAGAAGCTGCTATTAAAGTTTACCTCATAATCACGCACATTAGCAAACACGTTTTCGAAAATCGAATAATCCTGCGGCCGTCCGTTAGCTTCATGTTCCGAATGGTTCTCAGAGCAATGCCTCGCAAGTATTTCGTGAGTAGTTTGCTTTTGAGCACATAGAGGACAAGCTATGTGCGATATCCCGGCTGTGGCGACCCGTTCTTCCTTCACTTTTTCGCGCTGTTGCTTGGTGTACTTTTGGACACGCTCCAAGTGACGATGGAGACTATTTAAATGAACTATCGTGGAGCAAACTGGACATTTAGCACGTCTCTGGCCAACCATGGTACTGCAACAATAATGCAGCTAACTCAAAATTGGTTCAGTAGGAAGTTTTACAAAGTACATTATTGTCAAATTTCGAGCACACCAACAGAAAATATAAAAAAGCTAAAATGCTAATTGGAGGGTGCAATGAATTTTGGTTAAAACTCATGTGAAAATTACTGCGTATTTTCTCCAGATTACACGATCGCGTACAAACCTGTATTCTATGTCTCGGTGCCTGATAAGGTGTGTGCATGGTTTTGACGTGACAGCCGCACTCGCGGAAAAGCTGCTTCCAGCACGCTTTGCTGATATTCAACGGGCGTTAGAAACAGCTTATACCACACGACTTCTATCAATGCTGCGACGGCCACGTTAAATCCATAGACAATCCTAATCTGACTTGGAGATATAGAGATGGTGCATTACCACATTCTTCGAGAAAATAAACAGAAAGATGCCGATCAGAGACAACCGTCCGCTGCCCAAAGATCAAAGAGGGGTCGTTTTTACCCGATGGAAGGGGAGGGGGTCGTGAGCTTATGAACCAGCCACACAACATAAAGGTATCATGGCGTGGTAGCTTCCAACTACCAATGTGACTACTAATCAAAGATGATTGAATGGCGCATCCCGAAGCGGATGCCGTCTTAAATCACTTCGTATTTCAGCGAACACTGCAAACAAATCCTTCCGGAAAAACCGCGATGCTTTCGAAACAAATCAAAACGAAGGAAAATGCAACAAGCTTGACGGTTGACTTCTACAGTCTGAGTAAGGATTCTGGCAAAATAAGGCTTTATCTCGAAGCTTTCGAGGGGAATCTAGCATGCGCTAAAACGAGTCTTTAAGATTTCGGTGAACCTTACCGCTTCCCGTTACACAAGTACTGAAGAAACCTATGGGGTGCAATGTGCCTCCGAATCGCAGCTTATAGCATTGCGTCGTTCACGAAAACTACCAGTTTTGAGAATAAGCTTTGGAGAGGAATAATAATCATGAAATATTGAAGCACTTCTTTTAATTACGTTGCCCTCCATTTTATCCTTCTTTTTCCGTTCCAAGCCCGACTTTAACTTCCCACTGTCCCCCACCTTTCCATGTGGATGACGTCAATAGTGGACTTGAATCTTGTGAACAAACATATAGCTGGTACGTAGTTTCTTACTGATACCAATGAAGGGGAGAGGGAGTCGTAAAAAATTAGAAATTTGCGCAACGCACGGTTGACCCCAAGCATGTTGCTGCTGAAAACTGTCATTCTAGGTAGTTCCGACACTGCTCTACACCCGTTTATGGTTTCCTGATTCAAGGAAAACGTTTGTTGTTAAGTTGTTGACGGAAGATTGAGGTGACCCGTGCCAATTTTCCACCTCCAGCCCTTACGATTTTAAGCAGTTATGTGCAGAATCGAGCTTCCGTTCCTATTATTTATATGAAGAAGTGTGAGCAAATTCATACTGCTAAGTGTTCCAGGAATCACTTTTCGGTTGTCAGTTCCAACATAGTCACAAAGGAAAAGAAACGATTCAAAGCGACCAAAAACAGTTGTCATGAAATGAACATCTCTTTCTATTTAAATATGTAATTCCTTTCAACAAATTGAATGAAAAAGTTCTTTTATCCTCATTTCTTCCTCATAATTCAATTCCACGGAAGTATGAGGAAGGATCAAGGAGAAAACACCTCCAATAACTGCCGAACCTCTTGAAGGAGATTAGTGAATTGACGTGTAATGCGCTACAATTCTTTGCACAGAGCCAATCAACGAGACATACCTGAGGTACGCAGAAGACTGGAAAAAAGTGATAGCCGTCAATAAGAATATATCGTCCTGATGTAACGCTTCCGTTTGTCGGACAGCTTCCGCGAGCTTGCAGCGAACCTAGAATCACAAGATTTAAACATATGAATTCTATATGTTAGAGTCGTCTATTCACGGAATAAGATAGGAAACAGT